TTATTAGATTGCAATAAATTAAAACAGAATTTCAACAACAGAAAAGACAGAAAGCCTAAAAATTTATGAAAAATAAACAACACTACTTAATTACCATTGGATCAAGAAAGAAATAAAAGCTTTATATAATTCATTTAAAATAAATGCACACCATAAACAAATATATGGGACACAATGAAAGTGGTGCTAAGAAGAAAGTTAAAATCACTAAGTGCCTTCATGAAGAAATTAAAGTGATTTCATATGAGATAAAATATGAAAATCAACAAAATCAAAAAATGAAACATAGGATATTGACACCTCAGAAATTCAAAGACTCATTATGACTTAATTCAAAAATCTATACTCCACAAAATAAAAAATACAAAGAAACAGACAATTTTCTCAATAGATACCACTTATACAAGTTAAATCATATCAAATAAACTCTTGAAATAGACCTATAACTACCCCTAAGAAAATAAAAGCAGTTATTAAAATTTTTCCAACCAAAAAAAAAAAACCCTGGGCAAGATGATTTTAGCAGACCTTAAATTCTACCAGACCTTAAAAGAAGACGTACTACTAGTACTCGTCAGATCATACCACAAAGTATAAACATAAGGAACATTGCTAAATGCATTTTATAAGGCCATAGTTACATTGATACCCAAACCACATAAAGGCTCAGTTCAAAAGAGAATTACAGCAGTTTCCCTCATGAATATTCATCCAAAAAATACTCAAAAGTACTTGCAAACTGAATCCACAAAATATCCCAAAAGGTCATCCACCATGATCATATAGTCTTTATTGCAGAGATATAGGGATGGTTCAACATAAGAAAAATCTGACAATGTAAGCCTTCATACAAACAAACTGAAAGAAAAAGAAAACACATGGTCACCTCATTATATGTTAAAAAGGTTTTTGACAAAATCTAACATGCTATCATGATAAAAGTCTTGCAAAGATCAGGGATACCAAGGACATACATAAACATAATAAAGGCAATATACTGCAAACTAATAGACAACATCAAATTAAATGGAGAGAAATATAAAGCAATTCCACTAAAAGCAGTGACAAGATAAGGCTGTCAATTCTCAATATCTATTCAATATAGTACTTGAAGTTTTAATTAGAACAATAAGACAACTAAAGGAACCCAAAGTAATACAAATTAGAAAGAAAGAAGTCAAAGTATTGCTATTTGCAGATGATACAATAGTATATTAAACAACCCCAGAAATTCTACCAGAAACTCCTAAAGCTGTTAAATACCTTAAGTGATATGGATAGGTACAAAATTAACTCAAAAAGATCAGTAGATGGCCATCTCCTATAACCAGGCAAGACTTCCAGCAGAGGGACTGGGACACCATCCCAGCCATACAACCTTCAACCTACAATTTGTCTTGCCTACAAGATGTGCTGGGCTAAAGGTGTTGCAGAGAGATGGTTCAGCAGTTGAAAGCACTGATTCTTCTTCCAGAGGTTCTGTGTTCAATTCCCAGCAACCACATGGTGGCTCACAACCATCTATAATGAAATCTGGTGTCCTATTTTGGGGTGCAGGAACACATGCAGGCAGAATACTGTATATGTAACAAATAAATAAATCTTAAAAAAAATAATGTGTTGCAGAAATTGTGGGAATGATCTACCAATGACTGGTCCAGCTTGAGACTCATGCCAAGAGAGAGTACACTCCTGACACTGCTTGCAAACACAACTGACAAAAATTAATAGAAGCTAATAAAATAAATCCTATTAATATTCTGCTATACTCATAGATTGCTGCCTAGTCCAGTTGTCACCAGAGAGGCTTCACCCAGCAACTGACTGAAACAGATGCAGAGATCTACAGCTAAACATTAGGCTGAGCTCTAGGAATTTGGCAGAAGACAGAGAAAGGACTATAGGAATTGGAGGAGTCAAGCACACTACGAGAAAACCCACAGAAACAACTAACCTGGGCTTATATGCTCTCACAGAGACTGAACTGACAACTGGGAGCCTGCATTGAATTGACCTAGACCCTCTCTGAACATATGATACAGTTGGGTAGCTTCGTGTTCTGGTTGGGACTCCTAATAGTGGGTACAGGGGCTGTCCCTGACTCTGTTGTCTGCTTTTGGGACCCTTTTCTCCTACTGGATTGCCTTGCCCAGCCTTAATAGCAAGAAAGTATCTAGTTTCTACACAACTTGGCATAGCATGGCTGGTTGATATCTATAGGAAGGAGGCTTGCCCTTTGCTGAAGAGAAATTAAAGAAAGCATGTATAGGGAAAGAGGGGAGGTGGGTTGGGGTGGGGTGTGGGGCAATACTGGGAGGAGACCAGTGAAAACCTTAGTCAGGATATACAAACAACAAAAAGTAAATAAATAAAAGTAATGAAAAATGATAAATGAATAAAAACAAATTTCCATGCATGGTTTAGGTTAAATTTCTTAAGAGGCTTTTGAGTGAGGTGATATTATTAGAAAACCCACTAACCCAGCTTTGTGCCCCCATTCCCTCTGTGTCCCTTCCTATTAGAACTTAAAAGGAGCTGAGGACAAACCCTTCCAATTGAGGTTTGTTCCTAGTCACAGAAAGTAGCTGAAGCTGTGTACATGGCTAACTGTCTATAAAGCATTGAAACAAGAAATATCCAGCACTGTATCTACCTTAGTAACACTGAAGACAACTTCCTATTGTCTTCACTGTTACTCGGAAGATCTTTTGGATGATGCTCTCTGGAGTGGTGCAGAATCAAGCTTTTCAAAGAAGAAATGTATAAGTACAGCACTTAGGTAAGGTGTGGAAATCTCCAATGTCATGCTGGCCATAATCTGACTGGTGTCCTTTCAAACAACTGAACTGCCAGTAACTAAAACAATTTTCAAACCAAATAAAGTCCTATATGAATACCATCCATTCCTATAGACAGGTAATACATAAGTGAAACAAGGGGGGATCCAAGTAGTAATGAGTAGCTATGGCAATAGGCATGAACACAGACAATATGTGGTTAGAGAAAAAGAATAATAGTGGAGTGTGGTTTGAAATAACTCATGAGTCTGTGACAATATGTACTAACAACTGTGTTTAGTGGGCTGGTTTTACAAATTCTATGTGAGTAAAGAGGAACTAGAAGGTTCTGAGTTACCAACTATGGAGACAACAGATGTAGAATGAAATATATAGCATTAGGCACCTGGGAGCCCCTCTAGGGTCAGGTCTCTTGCCAACCCTAAAGTGGCTCCCTTAACTAAGAATTGTGGTTCCGTGCTCCCCTGTCCAACCTTCCTTTATCCCAATCCTCCTGTTTTCCAAATGCCCGACCTCCTTCCCTTCTAACTTTTCTCTCCCCATCTCCCCTTACCCCCATCCCACCCCACCCCCAAGATCCCAATTTTCTCCCCGGCAATTTTGTCTACTTCCCTTAGCCAAGAGGATAACTATATGTTTTTCCTTGGGTTCCCCTTCTTACTTAGCTTCTTTAGATTCACCCATTGTAGACTCCGTGACCCTTATTTGTGGCTAGAAACCAATTATGAGTGAGTACATCCCATGTTCATCTTTTTGGGTCTGGGATACCTCACTCAGGATAGTGTTTTCTATTTCCATCCATTTGCATGCAAAATTCGAGAAGTCATTGTTTTTTACCGCAGCCCAAGCTGAGGTCCCCAGTTAGTTCCTTGGGCAGTTGAGGATAGGGAACCTGAAATGACCCTATCCTAGAGCAATACTGATGAATATCTTGCATATCATCATAGAGCCTTCATCTGGTGATGGATGGAGATAGAGACAGAGACCCACACTGGAGCACTGGACTGAGCTCCCAAGGTCCCAATGAGGAGCAGAAGGAGGGAGAACATGAGCAAAGAAGTCGGGACCACGAGGGATGCACCCACCCACTGAGACAGTGGGGCTGATCTATTGGGAGCTCACCAAGGCCAGCTGGACTGTGACTGAAAAAGCATGAGATAGGGCTGGACTCTCTGAACATGGCGAACAATGAGGGCTGATGAGACGCAAAGGACAATGGCATGGGGTTTTGATCCTAAGTAATGTGATGGCTTTGTGGGAGCCTAGCCAGTTTGGATGTTCACCTTCCTGAATATGGACGGAGGGGGGAGATCCTGGGTCTTACCACAGGGCAGAAAACCCTGACTGCTCTTTGGACTGGAGAGGGAGGGGGAAAGGAGTGGGGGGAGGGGGAGAAGGGTGGGAGGAGGGGGCGTAGGGTGGGAGGAGGGGGAGGGAAATGGGAGGCTGGGAGGAGGTGGAAACTTGTTTTTTTTCTCCTTTTCTCAATAATAATAAAAAAAGAAATATATAGCATTATTCCATGGGAATCAGAACCCATGAAAGTTTTCCATAGTTCAATAAGTCCTCCTGGAAACTGAGAAGCAGATGTGATTGCGAAAATACAGACCATCTCTTTTCAGGAACCTTTGGCAGCTGCTTCTTGGGGATCATACAGAATCTACCTTTATAGGAACCAACATAGCCTGAAAAATAACTAACATAATCACAAAATACCCTAATCGTTTGAACGTTGTCCAAGCACATGAGGCTTGGTAATGATCACAGATAACATAGATGGAAATTCTGATGGGACAACCTGTTCCAAGATGAATTTACATGTATTCTCCATAGAACCTATGCCTGTTCATGAGGGATGTAAATATGTCCTCACCTGTGTGGACACTGACACTGGCTCTTACAAGTATTTCCATGCAAATAAGCAAGAGTTAAACCACTATCAAGTGTCTCATCCAATTCACTGTTATATATGGGCAATCACAGAAAATCAATTGTGTCAGATACACATATTCTACAATGAGGTTTAAGAGCAACTAAGTCCTAGGTAATTCCACCAACCTTATAATCCTGCTTGGGTTGTATTAATTAAAAGAAAGAATGGATTATTGTTAAAATAAGAACAAACTTAAAAACAGAAAGTGCTATGTACAGGAAGAAAGGGAGACTCCCAGAAGTTGAAATGTTAATGAATAAAAATCTCACTGCCAGGGCTGAGCTACTCTTCTACAAAATATTGATGTGATAAAAAAAACATTACCAAAATCAGCTTACAGAGAGAAACGTTTACTTCCATTTACAACTTGTAGTACATCACCCAGAGAACTCGGGGAAGGAACTCAAGACAGAAACCTGGAGACAGGAGGCAGAAACTGAATCAGAGGCCATGGAGGAGTTTTCCCAACAGCTTGATTCCCCCGGCTTGATCAGCTTCATTATAGAACTCAGGATCATCTGTTTAATGGTGGAAACATTCAGTGTGCTGAGCCCCTTCACATTAAATATTAATCAAGAAATCACCCCGCAGACTTAACTACAGAGAAATTTTATGAAGACATTTTTTCTCAATCATGAATTCATTTTTCCTAGATTACCCAAGCTAATGCCATGTTGACAAAAAAAATAGCTAGCACATCCAAATAGGTCTTCAAGCCCAACAAATCATAAAAGTTATTGCCACTGCTGGTGGCCATAAAGCAGAACTGGATAGTAAGTCCCTGTGGATGAAAATACTGCATGGTTTGACTGTAAGTCAGCTTGAACTGGAAATTCCATCCATGTTGGATTTGCTGGTGTGGTAAGATGTCATGAAAGTTGTCATCAATAGTCCTCTCTCTTTGGTACACGGATGCTATAATACTAACATGCTAGGCAATATCTGCATACTTGTACAATAGTAGCTTCAATGTTATAAATATACCCAACGAATTTCTAGTCAGACCGAATACCCACTCTATAGAAGAGAACTCACAACTGGTACTGTAAACCAGGGAAAAAGTCCTCCGGTGTTATGTTTTTTCAATAAATGTGATATGCATGTCAAACTACCTTGTAAACATTGTGTTTATTTCCATATATGTCTACTAATGTGAGCCCTAAAGATCATAGAAGGAAACTTCATATTTTGCAATGCAAAATGTTCTAAAGGTATTTATAAAAATATTTATGAAAGGTCAAGCTTAGGAGAGCTGAAGCTTAAAATCAATCAGATCAATTAGGAAATAAAAGATTTTTACTGTGTCATAGTGTCCCATGCTAATCCATATATGGAAAAATAATCAGACATTGGCATCACCCCTTTCAATGATCAAGGACCATCATGGAGGAAAGAGTGAAAGAAGTTAAGATCCAGACATTGGGGTAGAGTGTTGCGTAGCTATTTCATCTATACTTAAACTTTTCCTTCTGTAAGGAGCTGAGAGATTATTACAATACTCAGAAGGTAAAGTAAATTCTAAATTCATAAAGTTCAAGAAGTTCCTGAAACTTACAAGATTGATAAGTCATCAATGAACACTTATTATATAAGCTAATGATTTCTAAGACAAGAACCTCTCTGAACAGCTGAGAATAGTACAGCAACCTCCAAGGATGAAGCTTCATGAAAGGTCACCCATGCTCAAGTGGATATTTCAGTGATTCTACAGTTTTTTAAGTCACCCATGCTTCTGTAAATAATATTAAATACACTAAGCATCAGTAGAACTGTTTCTTTGGGCTGCCATAAGTCTGCTATATTGGTATCACAGACCTCTATTAATTTCTTCCGAGGAAAGGTCACATAACAGACTGATACAGCATAGATGTATAACATCAATATGGTGCAAGAGACAGGCACTTAACATGATACTTTTTACTGAATAACTTAGCTCTAATAACCCAGAAATGGGCACATTTCACTGTTTAGCTTAAAGTCACACAGCAAGTACTGAGAGAATTAGGATGTGGATAAAGTGGATGAAGTATGAATTCTGAGTTCATGCAGTGAAAAACCAGAATAATTTATTACAGGAGAAACACATTCAAGAGAAGAGGCATATATAGTTATTTTGCTGCAGCTAATAATATTACCATCTTGATAGAAGAGAAAAAATTATGGAGGAAAAACACAAATGGTAGATATAACTTATACCGTACTTTTTATATTTTCACTTATAGGAAGTATGATATGTCATACGCTGTAGATAGGTTAAAAAATATTTTAAAAGAATAAGCCATATTCATAACATACTTCATGTAATCAATTAACATTCATTTACCTTAAAATTACTATAAAATTATAATATATATTATATAATATATATATCAAATGATATGGGATGATTAAGAAAGTGCCTGTAAACTTCAAATATTTTAAGTTGGAACTTTTTATTCTAACCTATACTTTACAAAATGTTTGCGATACCATTATACACATGAGAAAACCTCCATATATTCACATCACACATCTCAGGGCAAAGCCTGGGGAATAATCTCTATCTCCAGGGACTATTTGAGTTCATAGCAAAGTAATAATTTGCTAAATGTATGCAGGATTAACATACTAACAATATGTCCTATGAAATAGTTGGGGAATTGCCTTTATTTAATTTAACATACTAAAAGGTAGAGTAATTGCTAAAAAATGAAAAATGATACATGAAATGTAAGTAATCTCTTTTCAAACCACATATTTTTCTTATAGCCATCTATCATACATGACAACCTCCAACAATTGTAATTAAAGAGCATTGTTTTCATAATTAAACACAAATGTCTTTTTTCTTTAAGTGCCTTTATTTTTCTACGTAACAATGGCTAGTTTGTAGGGAAAAATGTGGATAATATGCCTAAAATTATGATTTAAAACTTCCCATGCTACTTTCTAAAGATAGAAGCCAAAGAGCCGAATAAGTCAGGGTGCCTTTGAAGATATTTAATTAAAATTTAATCCCACATTCTTAAAAGCTCACATAAATTAAGCTGTCATTCAGGAGATTTATGCATTCACATTTGCATATTACATACAATTCATCAATTACTCGTGTTTGAAAGCATTGCCTTTCCCAAGGTGCTGAACTTCCAATGGTGCCAGTAAGCACACTGCAGTACATAAAACGATAGTCAATGATACCTTGGAGACAACCATTTCCGTATGGTCTTTCCTTAGAACAACTATGAAATTCAAAGAATGCTTTGAAAATTATGCTATGATAAACTCCATTTGGCTAACTCTGTTTGACAAAGATGAGAATTTTACTTAATATTGCAACAAATACATAGGGATGTAGATTTAACAGTTATTTTCTAATTCATGACCTGTTCTGAAGTTATAATAAACACAAGAAGTTACTGATAAGCTACAAATTAACAAAGTCATTAAACTAAAAATGTTATCTCCAATTTTCCAAATTGACAGAGGGCATGGTATACTTAAGTTTAAACACATATACAAATGACAGTCTTCATGTGTAAATAGGCTGTGGAAAATAAATGGAACTCAGCTTTATAAAGAAGATTAAGATCTATCTACATATACATATATAAAGTAACATTTCTACAAGCAAGCAGAAGCAGTGGCCCATTTTCCCAACATTACCCCGATATCAATACTGTAAAGAGAGGTCACTTCAGTTATTACAAAGGAAAAGAAGTATGCTTATAAAAGACCCCATGTAGCAAAAACAATGCAGCAATTCAAATGAAATAATGAACTAAGATATTGCCTGACATCTCAACAATTACTAAAGTGTTTTGCACAGAATTACAAATCAGAAACTGGAAAACAGTCCACTACGATCAAGGGCACTTATCCTTTAATATCCAGGACCTTTCTCTCTTTATAAAAATTTCTATTGTTCCTTTAATATTTTACATCCAGAAACTATACAAAATTTAGGAAAATGGAGACTTTAGACTTTAGTTATGTGATATTATACTCTTTTTGCACTTTGGGGGAAACCTGCCACCCAGCTCCCAAATAAACCACCATGGAGTCTTATTCTTTCTTATAAATGCCTAACCTTAGCTTGGCTTATTTCTTGTCAGTTTTTAAAAAAAAAAAAACTTAAATTATCCCAACTACCTTTTGCCTCTGAGTTTTTCCTTTTCTTACTTCTGTGTATCTTACTTTCACTCGGCTGGCAGGGTAGTTGTGTCTAGTCCCTGGCATCCTCCTCTCCTCGTTCTCCTTTGCTCCTTTCTTGTTTCTCATATTTATATTCGCTGCCTGCCAGCCCCATCTATTCTCTTTTTTTTTAATTTATTTATTTATTAAGGATTTCTGCCTCCTCCCCGCCACCGCTTCCAATTTCCCTCCCCCTCCCCCGATCAAGTCTCTCTCCCTCATCAGCTCAAAGAGCAATCAGGATTCCCTGCCCTGTGGGAAGTCCAAGGACCGCCCACCTCCATCCAGGTCTAGTAATGTGAGCATCCAAACTGCCTAGGCTCCTCCAAAGCCAGTACCTGTGCAGTAGGATCAAAAACCCAGTGCCATTGTTCTTGAGTTCTCAGTAGTCCTCTTTGTCCACTATGTTCAGCAAGTCCGGTTTTATCCCATGCTTTTTCAGACACAGGCCAACTGGCCTTGGTGAATTCCCACCTATTCTCATTCCTGCCTCACTATTGGCCATTCAGCTCTTTATTAGACCATCAGGTGTTTACGACAGTTTCACAGAGTTAAACAAATGCAGCTTAAACAAAAGTAACACACCTTATAATAATATTACCCAAAATTTAGTCATTTCTTTTGTGTAGGATATATATATATATATATATATATATGTATGTATGTATGTGTGTATGTATTTGTTCACATATATAAAAACAAGTAGGATAAAATGGCATAATTTCATGAACATATATTCTTCCACAAAGGAGTTATGTTCATTTTCTCTGTATCATTGTAATTATTTTAACATATTTTTTATTATTTTTTTTTAGAATTTCATATGTTAGTACTATTTTTACATCGTTTCTACGCTATACTCCCCCTAATCTAATTCCTCTCATATTTCCCGACTCCCTTGCAGTTCCAACTCTCCATGAAGTGACAAAGGCAATTTAATGGCTCCTAAACGGAGGCAATACAATCTCTGGACACCAGATTCGAGATGGGTTATCTAATCCAAAATAGTCATTCTTATTTGTAAATACATATGAGAAAAAATAAATTGATACAGTAGGTTGTATTTATTTAGACATAGATTTATTGATAATAAATAAGAGACAAGGTATTCT